TAAGTTTAATAATAAAACAATTTATTTTTGGTTTAATATTATAAATTTTATAAAGATAATAATTAAGTATTTTGTTAGAATTTAATGATTATACTAATTATATTTTAGATTTTTTATATTTAAAATGAAATGTTTATCATGTATTTGATTGTGTTTATCTGCAGTTAGTTATACGAATTCAGATATGGGATGAAATCGGATAGGGATGAACGAGTTTAAGAGTTTTAACAATTTTTAAAAGTTTTAGCCAAATATTTTATAAGATAGTATAGATATAGATATAGATATAGATATGTTGGAGATATTATAACAATATTAACAAAGATGTTAAAAGATTTACGTACTCAAAGTATGATGTCAAATGTGACAATTGGTGCATAGATTAGGGACCAAAATCGTAACTTTGTCTTACCTAGTCATATATATATATGCGTGTGTATGTGTGAGGCCAGTATATTCCCAATAGCCCCTTATCACCAACCCACTCTCCCTGTTAAATACTAAAATAAGAACATACAAACACACAGCATTGGAGATCCTTCACTTGTAATCCACTTTTCTTGAAGTGGGTGTTGAGCTTGATTCATTCAAGTTCAGTTCAATCCAATTTCACCATTAGCAATGGAGCGTGCACGCAGGCTAGCAAACAAAGCCATCCTCAGGCGCCTCGTTTCACAAACCAAACAAAACTCACCATCACCTGCGTTGTATTCGTCTTCAAGGTATGTTTCTTCGTTATCTCCATATCTATCTTGTGATGGAAATGTTAGATCACAAAGAAACATTCATGGGTTTGGTTCTCAATCTCGATCCATATCGATCGAAGCTTTGAAACCCAGTGACACTTTCCCACGCCGCCATAACTCTGCCACACCAGAAGAACAAACCAAAATGTCCGAATTCGTTGGGTTTCCGAATCTGGATTCACTCATTGATGCTACTGTTCCTAAATCGATTCGTCTTAACTCCATGAAGTTCCCCAAGTTTGATGAGGGTTTAACTGAATCTCAAATGATTGCACATATGCAAGATTTAGCTTCTAAGAACAGCGTTTACAAATCCTTTATTGGTATGGGGTATTACAACACATCTGTTCCTCCTGTTATTTTGAGGAACATTATGGAAAATCCAGGTTGGTATACCCAATACACTCCTTACCAGGCTGAGATTGCTCAGGGAAGACTTGAATCCCTGCTCAATTTCCAGACCATGGTCACGGATCTCACTGGTTTGCCCATGTCGAATGCTTCATTGCTCGATGAAGGAACCGCGGCTGCAGAAGCTATGGCTATGTGCAACAATATTCAAAAGGGTAAGAAGAAAACATTCATCATTGCAAGCAACTGCCACCCACAAACGATCGATATCTGCAAAACTAGAGCAGATGGTTTTGATCTAAAAGTGGTTACAGCCGATCTGAAAGATTTCGATTACTCATCTGGTGATGTTTGCGGGGTATTGGTCCAGTATCCTGGGACTGAAGGGGAATTGTTGGATTATGGAGAATTTGTTAAGAATGCACATGCGAATGGTGTTAAGGTTGTGATGGCTAGTGATTTGTTGGCTTTGACTGTCTTGAAGCCTCCTGGTGAATTTGGAGTTGATATTGTGGTGGGTTCGGCTCAAAGATTTGGAGTTCCGATGGGGTATGGAGGTCCTCATGCAGCGTTTCTTGCAACATCCCAAGAGTACAAGAGGATGATGCCCGGAAGAATTATTGGTGTTAGTGTTGATTCTTCCGGGAAGCCTGCTCTACGTATGGCAATGCAGACAAGGGAGCAACATATCAGGAGGGACAAAGCTACCAGCAACATTTGTACAGCTCAGGTATCATTTTTTGCTGAATCTGAGTTCTTTAGCATTTCTGTTATATGAATAATATGCAGAATTATGCAGAATTAGAACAATTTTATCTTATGATAGTATGACTTGGTCTCTACAATTATTGGGTTGTGAGTTTGAGTTTCTTTAGATATATTTGTTGTTTGAAATTTGAATAGCTGTTATACATCCTTTCAAAACGAAAATTACTGGTTAATAAGGGGGAATGTCACCAAAATAGCCATTTTTTGCTTAAAAATTCACCAAATAGCTGATTTTTTTTAATATCATTAATAGCCACACAATCCGCAAATCGGCTAAGCAAATTTGCGGATTGTACTTTTTCAGACATTTCCAGTCACATGATGGGCCATATCTCAGTGGAAAAGTAGAAGATAGTATTTCTGGGCCATATTTACGTAGCAAATTTACAGATTTACCGCCTATTTCGTGATACTGTTAAAAAACCTAGCTATTTAGTGAATTTTTATGGCAAAATTGGCTAGTTTTGTGATTTTTCCTTAATGTGGATATGATTTTGATGTGGGAAAACTTACTAGTACTCTCCCTTCTATTGTTTGCCCTTTTGTAGTTAAAACATTTTGTTATTATGTAGGCATTGCTTGCAAACATGGCTGCTATGTTTGGTGTTTACCATGGACCAGAAGGCCTAAAGACGATTGCACAACGAACCCATGGACTTGCTGCAACATTTGCTGCTGGACTGAAGAAACTTGGGACAGTAGATGTTCAGGATCTCCCCTTCTTTGACACTGTGAAGATCACATGTGCCGATTCAAATGTAATAGCTCAAGAAGCTTACAAAAACAAGATGAATCTCCGTATCCTGGACAAAAACACTGTAAGTATATTTCCGCTGTTGATTATGTTTGCTAACAGTGGTTCTATTCTTGAAATTAATTGAAATTTGGTTTCTTTCAGATAACTGTGTCATTTGATGAAACAACCACCATTGAGGATGTTGATACTTTGTTTAAGGTTTTTGCGTTGGGGAAACCGGTGAGTATTGTGTTCATTCAGATGCTACGATGATTATCTCTAAATAGATAACAGCTTTAAAGATTCTTGTTGTTTGTAGGTGCCATTCACTGCCGCAACTCTTGCACCAGAGGTTCAGGATGTTATCCCTTCCGGGCTTGTAAGGGAGACTCCATATTTGACACATCCAATTTTTAACTCGTAAGTTTCTTTCTGACGTTTTTATTTTGGCCTATCTAGTCTATGGAGTCCATGCAAAGCTGTCACTCCACATGGCTTGGGCAATTTACAAGCCTCTCGCCCCGTGGGCATGGCCCCTAAAGGAGTTGATAATGCATAGTGGGATCCAATTCATAGGTCTTATGCTTCATGAGACAAGAAACCAAATCTAGGTGAATTACCGGGTTATTTAGCTAAATGACCTCATGACAAGTGTTTTTTCAAATTCTTGACCTTTTAACAAGTTTCTAGGCATTCATGTGTACACAAGTGGCATTCTCAAAACTGTCAAAAGGTCATGGATTCAAAAAAAATAGTTGTGAGAAGGTCATTTAACCAAATCTAGGTGAATTACCACTAGGCCAACCCCTTGGTCCCTGTTTGTTCAACGTCGGCTAGTCTTGGACCATTTTTCCTCAATATGTGTCGGAACCCTTCTTTCTCCTCAATGGCTCTTTTGGACAATAATATGATGTGGTTCCTCACTTCCACATATCTGAAAGTCCCAAAGGAGTTGATAGCACCTAGTGTGATTCGACCCCGACCCTGAAGCTTCATTATAAGTTCTTTTATCATGCCCTCGTTATTTAGCCAACTTTTCACCTTTTTCTTTTTATAGTCACAAGTTGAATATCTTATTTAAAGTTTACCTATTACTCAGTACGGGAAAATCTTGTTAATATGTAATGTTCCACAGTTTACCAGCCGATCAACGAAATGAGGCCAATCTTTAGAGGACTTACATGATTCTCGTTTTGTTTTCTTTAGTTTCCACACGGAGCATGACCTACTCAGATATATCAGCAAATTGCAGTCAAAGGATCTCTCGTTGTGCCACAGTATGATTCCCTTGGGGTCTTGTACAATGAAGCTTAACGCAACTACAGAGATGATGCCCGTGACATGGCCAGCCTTTGCAGATATGCATCCATTTGCCCCTACTGAACAAGCAGAAGGATATCAAGTAATCATGATGTCTTTATTCACTTGTGACTTCAAGTTATATTGTTGTCTAATATAAGATCGAACACATATTATAATTGTCTGTGCCATTTATTTTCAGGAAATGTTCAAGAATTTGGGGGATATGTTGTGTACCGTAACTGGATTTGATTCTTTCTCTTTGCAACCAAATGCTGGTGCTGCTGGAGAGTATGCTGGGCTGATGGTTATCCGAGCGTATCATATGGTATATAATGAAGCCTAATATCATGATAAATGCAGAACTCTTTTTGCAATTCAACTTCTATAGATTTTTAGTCCAATTTAGAGTCGATTTAAGAAGATTTATGTTGATCGACTGTAGGCAAGAGGAGATCATCATCGCAATGTATGCATCATTCCCGTATCAGCACATGGAACAAATCCTGCTAGTGCTGCTATGTGTGGCATGAAAATCATTACTGTTGGAACAGACTCTAAAGGTAACATTAATATTGAAGAGGTACGCAAGGCTGCCGAGGCAAACAAGGAGAGCCTATCTGCTCTAATGGTATGCATATCTTTGTCAAGTAATGCTTATTTTTAATGCTATTGAATTTATCAGGAATAAATATGTTAGGATATGTGGAACCCCTTTGAATCTCTCAAAGGTTTTGTCTAGCTGATGTGGGACCATTACAAAACATAAGCTTCTTGTGTTCCTCCAAATTTCAGGTTACATATCCTTCAACTCATGGAGTTTATGAAGAGGGTATTGATGAGATATGCAAAATTATTCATGACAATGGAGGTCAGGTTTACATGGATGGAGCAAACATGAATGCTCAGGTATAATGAATGTTTGAGTTAGGAGTTGTTTACGAAATACTTACTGCCTCTTACCAGGTAACTAAACACTTATTGCCTCTCGCCGAGTAAGAGACGCTTACCTGGTCAGAGATGATGGTCTTTCCCTATAATCTTATTGTGCCATTTTGCTAACCGAGAATCAATCTTACCCGGTAAGTGGTGAGGGTGGTGACTCTTACCAGGTTAGCGCTTACCTGGCAAGAGACGCTTACCATCAATCTCCTATGTTATTTTGATGACCGAGAATTTTACCTCGTAGTGTTGGTGTTAGTGAGGGTGATGACTCTTACCCGGTGAGCGCTTACCTAGGTTGTGTTGGTAAACGGCCCCTTAGAATCATTTCCCATTAAGGTTATTCTTGTGCGACTAAAATGTCATGGGTCAAGTCGCAAAAATACCCTTTTCGCAAAATGTATACTTTATTTGTTCTATCGAACCTTTCATGTCTTCTGCGATAGAACAAGCAAAGTATACTTTTAACTGATATGATATCTCTAGTTTGTGTTGTTGAAGCTCAATTTTCTTGCATAATCTACCCGTGATGATGAATGATTTTGCTTATATATAGTGGTGGATGTGAAGAAGTTGTATTCTTGCAGGTTGGCCTAACAAGCCCTGGATGGATTGGTGCGGATGTTTGTCATCTGAACCTTCACAAGACATTTTGCATTCCACACGGTGGAGGTGGTCCTGGAATGGGTCCAATTGGTGTGAAGAAACACTTGGCACCGTATCTGCCTTCTCACCCTGTGGTAAGCACCGAAGTTTATAATACTTCCGTCATCCCAAAATAAGTGTCTTTTCAGTTTGTCCCAAAATAAGTTTCCACTTTCAAAAGTAGGTGCTTGTTTTCCAATTCTCCCCTTAGTTATGAGATGGAGAAATCCATTACCCCCTCTATTTTTAAAATAAAAATTGTCATTTAATTGATTAAAGAACTCTAATAATTATACATATCTAAAACTGAGTGCCTTTTTCATTGTGGGCTTTTATTTTGAGATGAGGGATTAATTGGAGAGTTCCTTCTTAATGGTTGTTGTAGATTCCTATGCTCACTTTCTAATTTGATTTAAAATATTGATTAATAGGTTTCAACAGGAGGCTTACCAGCCCCCGAAACGGCTCAGCCACTTGGTACCATTTCTGCAGCACCTTGGGGATCTGCACTTATCTTGCCCATATCATACACATACATTGCCATGATGGGATCTAAGGGACTTACAGATGCATCAAAGATAGCCATCTTGAATGCAAACTACATGGCAAAACGTCTTGAGGTCCGTTTTCTTGAACAATTAAACGCTTTTTCTTTGAAATAGTAAAAGGGTGCAACAGGACGACTTCTCCGGGGGGGGGTCACACATCCTAATACTAATTAGTTCTGGTATGATCGCACCTCCCATTACTTGGGAAACTAATTTCTTTCCTTTTGGATCACATTTCAGAGTCACTACCCCATTCTTTTCCGTGGTGTCAATGGAACCGTTGCCCATGAATTTATTGTTGATTTGAGACCCTTAAAGGTAAGTTTCAGTCACCACCATCATAATCTACATTACATCTTTTGGGCCTAACTTTACTTTTCAAACTTTAGACTACGGCTGGAATAGAACCAGAAGATGTTGCTAAACGTCTGATAGATTATGGATTCCATGGCCCAACAATGTCATGGCCGGTTCCTGGGACACTAATGATTGAACCTACTGAAAGCGAAAGCAAGGTACATTCCGTTCTGTCTGAAATTTGAGGGCATCACAAAGTGTTCCATATGCTTTATCTTCCTATTTTGATGATGCAATTGAAATTTTGATGTGCAGGCAGAATTGGACAGGTTTTGTGATGCTTTAATATCCATTAGACAGGAAATAGCAGAAATTGAGAAGGGAAAAGTTGATATCACAAACAATGTTATCAAGGTATTTTGTCAGTATGATCAGTTTTGAGTAAATTTTTCTGCGTACGTCTTACCCCCCAGATCCCATCCCTGGATGGAATACACTGGGCTCCTTTTTTGGTCTGATTTATCAGTTTTGAGTAAATCTCTCTGCTCTGAGTTAGAGGTCAAGTCTCCCCCCCCCCCCCACAAACCCGAGTCCACCTCCAGGTAGGATATACTGGACTCGTTTTGTTTGATCTGGATTACAAGTTTTGAGTAAATTAGCTCTTAGTTAAAAGTCAGGTGTGCATACATCTTACCCCCAAACCCACCTCCAGCTGGGATGTACTGGGATTGTTTTGTTTGGTTTCTCAGTTTTGAGTAAATGTATGTGCTCTTTGAGTAGAGGTCAGTTCTGCGTACTATCTTACCCCCCCCCCCCCCCCCCTCGACCCCACCTTCGGGGGATATACTGGACTTGTTTGGTTTGGTTTGGTTTGGTTTGGTTTACCAGTCTTGAGTAAATTTCTTATGATATGAAAGAAATTGATTTGTATCTGAAATTGCATTCACAGGGAGCTCCTCATCCCCCTCAACTGCTCATGGCCGATAAGTGGACAAAACCATACTCTCGAGAATATGCAGCCTACCCTGCCCCTTGGCTCCGTGCTGCTAAGTTCTGGCCAACTACATGTTCGTTTCTTGCTCAATCTTTATGGAAAAAAGCTCGTTTTTTTTGGGTGTAACTATGCGTTATTAACAATGGTTTTTGGTTGGTTTGTGGTTACAGGCCGTGTAGATAATGTGTATGGTGATCGCAACCTTATTTGCACCCTTCAGCCCGCACATGAGGAAGAAGAAAAGGCTGCAGCGACTGCTTGAGTTGAAGGTTCTCTCCGAAAACAAAATGGCTTTGAATTCTTACTTCCTTTGTTCTTCATGTTCCTTCTATAGGTTGTTGTATATACAAGTTCCATATTTATCCACTGTTACAGCTGCCGGTTTTCATCTTATTCTTGTAATCATGGTGATTACCAACCGCTCTAATAACGGTTTCTGCTAATTTATAGCTTTCTTTTGTTACAAGTGTGATTTCCCACATTTCTACCATGGTCTTGTGTGTTGGAGGTGCATAGGAGGGTCATGGCTCCTACGCGCCGCTATCCATACTTTTAGAAGACACGTTTATAGTATATGGTATGAATTATGTCTATTTATCGTCTATAATACAAAAAATGTGTTGACATGCAAGATATAAGATTTTGTTATTCAAAATAGACCGTTTTCAAACTATAAACATGATGAACCTCTTCCATATGATTTGAATAATTGGAAGGCGTATGGGTTGACCATAGCTTTTGTTTTGTTTTGTTTTTGCTATTGTGTAACGTAGTATCATATAGATATGGGCAAACCGGCCCGACCCCTACCTTTACCTTTTGCAGCCATGAACCAATCCCTCCATAACCGTACAACTTTTAGGAACAATCCCCTTAACTGGTCCATATTTTTTAATATATGAACCTACTGTTTTTTTTTGTTATATGTCTAGTAAATATTTGGTTTCCAATAGTTTATTGGATCAAAAACTGCAAATTTGATGTCTCTTCCATGTTGGTTATATTTGCATATTGTGTTAGAACATCGGTGGATGAGACAGACAGATGTGATTTGGGATGAGGACTCCTAGGGGATCAGGAGAGTGTTCCATGGGGTGTGTGATTCACTGACGACATTGTATTCGTAGCATATTCGAAAATAGGGATCGAGGAGAGGTTGGAGCAGTGAACGGCAACTTTGGAAACACAAGGTTTGTGAATCAATCGTTCTAAGCCAAAAAAAATGTGGTGCAGTTCAAGGGGAGCAGATAGAATAATGGACGATTTCAATTATTTAAGGATCCATGATTTAAAAAGAGGGGTAAAGGTAAGGCGACTAAAGTGAAGAGTTGCAACAAGAGTGTTGTATACCCGCTATAAGATAGCAATCAGACAAACTATGTGTATGAATCGGAATGTTGGATGACGTCATTGAGAGGGAGTTGGAAGTTGTGGAATAAGAATGCTTAGGTGGACCTTGATAGATATAATTCCGAGTAAGGTTTTCTGGACGAAGTTGGGGTTGTCCTAGTATCAGGTAAATTATGAGAGGTAGATTCCGATTGTTTGGGCACATTTGTATGAGACGACATGACAGTAAGGAGAGTAGAAAAAGTGATAGTTGAGGGAGTGAGGAGGAAGGAAAACCAACGAGGACGTTGGATGAGGATGGACATGGCATCTTTAGGTATTTATGATGATAATAACCTCTTATAGGAGTACATGGAAATGGAAGACTAGGGTAGCAAACTAGTTGCAGAGTATTTGTAGCTTGCATGGTTGGCAGAAGGGAGTTGGAGAGGTTAGCAGTTTAGGTTAAGGTTGTGTTTTTGCTTTACTTGTGCGTGTTTCACCTTACATTCCTTTGTCTTTGTTTTTCAATGTACTTATCTTTTTCTTCACTCTATGTTTACAATGTGCTAGTCTTTGATCATTTTACATGTTTGCTCACACTCTTGCACAAGCGACCACCCAAAAACTCCCTCTACTCTTTATGGTAAAGGTCAGGTTTACGTATATCTCACCCCTGACTCTACTTTTTCAAGTGGGATTTACTAGATCGTTTGGTTTGGTTTGGTTTGGTTTAACTGGGTTGGTTTTGTTTTAAGTTTTTTTGAGGGGATTTACTAAAGAATAGAATAAAAACAGTTTGTTGATACAAAAAAAAAAAAAAAAAATCAACAGTCCCTTAACCAGACCAGTCTCCTACCTTATTGGTCTGACCTACTGGTCTTAAATCGATCCCGGTTCAGTCCTGCTTAACCAATCCCAAATACGAATTCTCTATCATCATGCAACCTTCCAACTTTGGTTACACTTGGAGGCACACATCTATTATAGTATATTTATAATTTGAATTTCTTATGATTCTATTATGTAAGGTACTCGATGTAATAAGCCATGCATTGTTGCTTCAACTTATATATGTTTGGTTTGTGGAGTTATTTTCACTTTGAAATTGTTGTATATTTGATCTTCAAATATACCGATTATAAAAATATTCGACCTTCGATTATTTTGTTATCCAAGCCCGTATCAAGCATTTAGCTCACGCTAGGCTTTTCTTTCGACACAGGTTGTTTGATGGGAGTTGCATACTTTCGTGAGATATTTATTTAAAAGTTCTATTTCAGTATATGTTTCAGCTGATAATTTAGATTTTAGTTTTGGTTTGATATCACGGTATTTATATCTTAGAAATGAAAATTTATGGTTTATATTTCAACTAATTTATTGATGTTTTATTGTTAGCAGATGGTGTAATTCATCTGATTTCTTACATGACCTCTTTTTCGAATAACGGGAAGGGGTGCTAAAAGAGGTAGGATGTCACTGAATCCCCGTTTCAATGCCAAATGGTAGAAGGAACTTCAGTGGGAGCTCATGTTTTTAAAAAAATGATGTGTTATAGCGATACCTTAACAAATTGGGCATATCAATAAGTTGGTTAGTGGCATCATGCAATCGTTTCCAGGTAGCTCTAATAGATGCTCTATAAGCTAGAGGATTAAACCTCTACTCAGAATTGCTTAGTATGTTATGAACTGCTAAATCAAAGCCAAAAAACTCAATCTTGAAACCATATCATAAAAAACTCCGAAAGGGTTCTAAATGAGAACTCAACATCGAATCCCAATCAAGTGTAGCAAAGGAAGAAACTTCTTTTAGTTATGGCAATACATGTAGGAATTAAACATTAAGAAAGAATTGAGAATTTCAGATCACGTATTCATATGAAATAAGTTTGTCGACCATCTATCATTATCAGGTAACAGTGTTCGTGATGAGGTTTAGAGCTAAACTGCATCGCATATACCTCAAACCGTAAAAAACTGCACCACAAACGGTGCGGTTTATACATCTTTGTACCTAACACACTTTACGCTTACAATCCAATAATTCGAGTTTTTCAACGATAAATGACCACAGTCCAAACAAATAAAAATTTAAATACATTCAATTTCCAAATACATAATTACATAATTACAAATAATCTAAGAAAACTTAAAATTTACTCATAAATTAACCTAATTATTATATATAATAAATATTGGTTTGATAACTCAAAACCGTAAAACGGCACCACGTAGTGCAGTTTGGTAAAAAGTGCAAATCGCTTCACGGAAGTTCTAAACTGTACTTCGCGGTGCAGTTTAGATGATTAGATGAACACCGTAGTATTAGGGACTAGGTACGGTGTGGAATCACATTTGTGTGAATATCTACACTAAGGGTCTATGGACCAGTAGAAGATAGCTTGAAAATATATGAAGTCAGAACCCAAATTCTTTTTCCTCCAAGTGATTTCACTTCTTTTCTGTTACATAAACCCCAAATTGTTTTTGTAACTTTTGTTACAAAATCTACGTACCAAACTTGAAGGACTGGTTTTGTAACTTTTGTTATATAAATTTTGTCATCATATTTCTCATTTAGTCTGCTTCAACTTTTAGATTTATTAGATATTATTCTTTCTCTCTCTCTAAGTTAGGGTTTTGTGATAAGAATAGTTTGTTTTATCCGGTTTAGCTTTGATGTGTCCTTGTATCATATCGTATTGGTTTATAGTGAATATATTTTGGTTTATAAATTTCTAGATGCTATCAGGGCTTTATGGATGAAACTTTAAGGGGCGTTTGTTTCGTCAGAATCTGATGAAATTAGAATAGTCAACTTTATTAACCAAAATATCATTTCAACGTTTGGTTGTCCATGGATGGAATTGAATTCCAAACATTCCCTTATTTGAGGATTTCACCATTTCTTCATAAAAGTGATGAAATTAAAATCTATTAAATCTAAAATTGTATAAATGACAAAAATATTCTCATTAGAAATAATAAACCCTAGTCGCACCCTTCGATTCTCATCTACTGCTTCCTATTAATCGCTTCCTATCAAACAAACGCCTCTCATCTATGAACCTATTTTCATCTTCTCGATCAAAGACTGCAGGTAGGTTTTTATGGTTACGAACATGTTTTCATCTTCTTCATTGATCTATTACTTCGATTTTGTGATAACCGGATCCTGGTTATTACCCAAGGTAATTAATGTGTGATTATTTGATTAAATGATTACGTGATAGCATGATAATTAATACATACCGGTATGAGAAATTATGGATTAATTGAATATGTATTATATATATATATATATGTGTGTGTGTGTATATATATATATATATATATAAATATGGGTGCACGCATGTTATGCATACATGGAGTAGGTATGTATGTGTGTGCATGTATGCATGGTGAGTCTAAGCATGAGGTGGATAAGGGGGAAAGGAAGGCGGTTTAGCCGACTTCCTGCTTTTGAAAAGTATAAATAGGAGGCTTAGCCTCTTCATTTGCCCTTCCTGCTATTTTGAGAAAATTGAATGCTTTAAAGAGTGTGTTGGCCGGATTGCAAGTGTTGGATTTCAAAAGGGTTGGTTTCAAGCATTTGGTTTCAAAAACTTATTAAGGTGAGTGGTTTCTAAACCTTTTTGTGTAAAATTACTACTGGTTTTATTTGCATGTTTCATGTTATTATTCTTTAGAAAGAAACCTTGCATATTTTTGTTTAAGTGTTTATCCGGACAAAGAGTGACCCGATAAGTATTTAAACCGGACAAGCCTTGAGCGGCTTATTGTCCGGATTAGTTTAAACCGGACAAGCCTTGAGCGGCTTATTGTCCGGATTAGTTTAAACCGGACAAGCCTTGAGCGGCTTATTGTCCGGATATTGATTAACCGGCCAAGGGTGGTGTAGGGTATTGTCCGGACTTGATGTCCGGATAAAGATGATTTTGCTTCTAAGTGTTAAACCGACCAAAGCTTATGTGGTATGTTGTCCGGACTTGATATCCGGACAAAGTTGATTTTAATCTTAAGTGTTCAAATCGGATGATGCTTGACCGGATTGTTGACCGGATTGTTGACCGGTTGGTGTTGAAAATATTTTGATAGAAATTATTATTTTATCATAAAATGAAGTTTTGA